AACTCATGCAATTTTATTTAATAGTACAAAAATATATGTATATTTTTGTATAAAGGCTTTAGGAACTGAATGTTCCTCATCCTTTCCGAAGCGAATCTAAAGACTATCTATATTATGTTGAAGCTACTTGAGCCAGTGCACTTGAGCACTTTTACTCTTTCTTAACTCGAGGTATTCTCAAAACCGCTCTTTACGCCTTGACTGGATTATTGTTTATCATTTCATCAGACTAAGCAATAATTGACCACTATTGGGGCATTATAATTGCATATCATGACATAATCATGAGATAAAAATTTTTTTTAAATTGCTGAAGTTACTTATCTGGACTAAAATAAATTTCTAGTTATTTGGTAAATATGTTACATGTTACCAGAAAACTGTATTCTGTTCTTTAATGAATTTTCAACGATTTCTCTTAAGGTTTAGGGGCGTCTTACATCTATCAATTACTAATTTTATGAAGTGTTTAAAATGTGTTGTTAATTTTGTGAGAAAGTATGTTATAGCCTGAGCCTATCATATTTAATGTATTGTGTAGTATATATTTAATTTTTTACAAATATTTAGATTTTTTGGGGTCTCATTTTAAATAATGAAATTATAAGATGTTTAAGAAATTCAACTTAATAGGTGGTTGGTCAAGGAACAATAAGATATGGAAACTGTATTCAGTGTTTACTCCGCTTTGGTATTTTATAGAATGATTCACCCTTCTATTTGGATATATTAAAAAGTACGGCTAAAAGATGCCGCTACAGTGTTTAATGTATGTTGATAGCATTGTATTTTTTATAGTTGTATTTTACAGAATAGATCCTGTTTTAGAAACAGAATTTTCTGATTATTCTCTATTTTCTTGCTATATAAAATAAATGTTTTTTAATGGTCCTATTCAAAGTAAAAAGTGACAGTCAAATGAATATTGTTTCAGCTATATTTCAATTGCTCTGACATATTTTATTTCTTCAATGGTGACAATATTTTCTACTGGGTGGGTGACTTCTCGCTACTTGTGTGCAGCTTGTTGACTTTTTATTAAACTGAGTAAAATTAAAACAAATTTATATGCGGTTTCCTACGTAATTATATGCATACAAAATTGTGAGTACGCATACATAAAAGTGAGCTCACTTCCCATTAAGCGAAATTGCAGTCATGTCAGTTAGATGCATTTAAAAATAGAGGAGCATAAGTGCATCCTTTTCGCTTGCTGTATACACAAACAAGCGGACAAACCCATTTATATATGACATAATATGCAGAATTCATATTTGACTTCCCATGTAAATGTGATGAAAGTTATGGAACAATAAATCTCAGTTATGATTTAAAGGACTTGTAAATTATTCTGCTTCTGATTAAAGAAAAAAAAATAAATAAAAAAAGAAAAATATTTCAAACAAAACATTTAGTTAATGAGAGTAAAAATATTTTCAATTTAAATTTAAAAATCTAGCTAATCCTTTCATAAGTTTTTAATTTTTATTTTTATACTTAACTTTTTACTAGACATGAATTAAATGCAATGTATTCTATGTTATCTGCTGAGCAAGTAAAAAGTTCCAGATGCTTCTAGGTACTATAAAAATATGTAGTGATGGTAGTGTTTTTATGTCGCAGAGGAAACTTTTATGACAACTGACAGACGAAAGGTTTCCCCTTGAGCAGTTCCCATGAAGTACTATGAACTTAAAATTTACTTAACTGATTTTAACACAATTTTAGGAATTAAATAAGAATTCATTTACTTAAAAGATTTAAATTATTCTGTTACTAAGATACTTAATATTCTGCATTTCCTGTAAGTTGCACTGCATCTTATTTATATTCTTCTTTTACAAAGTACTTTTATTTGTGCAGTTGTTTTTATGCTGTCCCATTCAAATCTTTTCAAGTGAATAAGGTTTTTATAGCTTTTAAGTGTGGACAATATACTTTACAGAGATCAAAATTAAATGCGACTGCAGTTTTGCTTTTATCTTCTCTCTAAATTTATTATTCTCATTATAAATATTTTAAGAAAACTTTCTGAATGCTTTATGGTAGGTTGACTAAGAAGAAAACGTCGTCTGTTCATTCATCTGTTGATCCGTTTTTAAACTTTAAATCGGTGAAACGATATATTTATTAAGACAAACAAAAACTTGAATAAAATTTTATAAGAATTCATAGTTTTTATTCTGTGAAAATTCAAGAAAAAGAATTTTAGATGTATAGTTTTTAAATACTTTAAAGAAATCAGTATCACTTTTGGAAGTACTCTGTAGTAGGAATTTGAATAAAAATATTAAACCAAGTTTTAAATGAGATTAATTTTTAATATTATGAAAAAAATATGTAGGACGATTGTTGCAGTGCAAGTTTAATAAATAATTTGTGTAAACCAGTGAAAAGTTGGTACGCACAGAACTTTGTGGATATCAGCTTAGAGGCTTCAAAAATCATGTTGTATCTGTAGGCAGTTGATACACATTATATTATTTTCCTGATACAGATCATTTGTAATGTTGAAGTAGGATTGACAACAACCAAATATTAGCCAGAGTTCTGGATACACCAGCTTTGAACCTTTATCAATAGTCATGATCTACTTGTGGATAGTTGTTACGCACAGGATTTATAAGTATCAAATATTATAATATTCAAGTACAGTAAATTTTCTCTTCAGCAATCAGTTGATGTGATCGGTTTAGAGCTGCTAATTTGAATATAACGCCAGAATTTGCAATTAATGGCAAATATATTATAAAAGTGGAAAGAACTCAAACAGTAATTAGCTGTCTATTATGAACTATAAGCTAATTAAATAAAAATTTGAATATTTCCTAAGATCACTGATGATAAGTACTTGGCAATACTCGAAACAGCGTTGTATGGTCTTCCAAATTTCAATAAATTAATTAAATTTTTGTTGTTATTATTTTATTGTTACATTATTGCTTTCATGTTATATCTTCTGAATGTTAGTATACTCGACCTCAGTGGATCGTATAACAATTCATTAGTTCTTAAACAGATTTATAATTTTTATTTTTAATTTGGGTATTATTTAGTTGCTAGTATTCAATCAACTCAAAAAATTGCATATGCATTTTGGATAAATTGTTTTTGCAACAGTTACAATATCAAGCGTAACCTATCTCATGAAGAAGTGCCTTTAGCAGATAATATCCTTATTAAATATTATTTGACAGCTTCTTTGTAGAAGTTAGAGCATGAAATGAGTTGGTTTTCTGTTTAATATTTTATAGTTAGTAAATAGTACATCATGAATATATGCTATTAGCAATCAATGTTCGTATTAAGGATCGTTTGACAGTTTTTCTGAAGGAGTTAGAGTGTATAGTCTGTTAAATGAATTATAGGTAAAATCCCTACATGACTATATGAATGTAGTGTAATGTACATATTTAATATCGTTTGACATATATTGTGGGTAAAATCACTTTATGAATAATAGCAGATAATGTTCACATATCTAAATAACGCATCTTATAATGTTTTACAGTTTCTCTGAAGGAGATAGAGCATTTATCTAAAGGGTTCTCTGTTAAATAATTTACATTTTATTAATTTATATTAATATTAATTTTATAGTTACTATATATATATTTTATATAGTACTAGAGCATTATATGCATATATTATGAATACATTCATTTTAAGCCAGTCATTCAGTTATAGTTAAATGTGTAGCTTACTACGCCTGTTAAATATCTTCTACTCTTCATGGTCCTGAAACAAATAATAACGGAGAACTCTCTTCGTTACAATTGGCTATATTTGTGTATGTCTCTTGCAGCAGAAATACCAGTAATTATTATTTCAATGATGGTTTGGCACAACCATCATAATAATATATAGTTAATATATAGTTTACTATATAGATTACTATATATATAGTTCAATATATAGTTTACATTAATACCAAAAAATATGTTCAGATTTTTACTGACTAAAACAAGTAAGTTGATCAGTAAATAAAATTTATGACTTAGCCCAGTTATTAAACAAAAGATGGGAAGACTCAACGATATGTAGACATCTGTATACAATCTGGCCACTTTCCGATAAAAGGAAATCGAAAACTCTAATTGGTCTTGTGGTAGGGTTGACTACAGGACACTGTAAACTAGGGAACCATGCTAGAAGACTAGGACTTCCTTTCAACCAAATCTGTCGTAGCTGTGGGGAGGACGATGAGAGTGCATCTCATCTTTTGTGTTTTTGTCCAGCTCATGCACGTCGACGATTTAGTACTCTAGGAGCCCCCTTCCTTGAGGATCTGGACCAGTTACAGGATCGGGCTTTAAATAGCATTTTATGCTTCGCAAAAGGTTCTAGGTGGTTTTAAACCCTGAGGTTTTTATTATTTATATACGGCATCACAATGGCCCAATAGGCGTAAGTGGATCCACTAGGGATCACCGAGAAACCTAACCTAACCTAACCTAACCTAGCCCGGTTATTCCATATATTTATATTGATATTTTCATTTATATTGACAGTTGTTTCAGTCACACTACGCCTGAGTTGTACAAAGAGAGTTGTGTCAAGACTCGAGGTAAAAGTTGGAAACTGTTCTAAGAATAGGTATTATGTCCATTGTAGGAAATATTTAGCTAAATAAAACTTAACAAACATAGTAAAAACTCTACTTTGTTTTTTAAGCAAATCTTTTATGGCTAAGTTCACGACTAAAAGGCATGAATGAAGTGTAATATAACTTTCTTATGTATTCTAATTATTCGACAGCTTTTTAAAAACATGTAATAATATTATTTATTTTTATTACTTTAAATGTGTGATATTTTATATCGAATTCTTTTTATCTAATTCTTTTTATTTTCTTAGGCAGAATAATTTCAGTTAAACTTAATTAGCTTATATTTTAGTATTTCAATATTTTTTGACTCTACAGTGTTTTCAAAATTTCAAAATATTTTTCGACATCAACACCTACATTTATTTAAAGATAATTAAATTACTGCACTTACTTGAAAGGATGCGGTAAAAGCTGATACAACTTCGTAGGTGTGCTCCCATGGGTGGCCAGGATCAGGACGGAATGGTGTCACAATATACTGCAAGCCCAAAAGTGGCACAAGTAGTAATGTGGCGCTGTAAAGTGATTAGTATGCAAAATTTGTACTAAAAATTAATTCAACTTGGAATATTTATTATTAATATTAAAGAAAACATTCTTGATATAAATTTTACTAAAAACTTTTAATCCAATTATTGTAATACATATTTGTTTAAGCTATTTGGACCTTAAAGGTATTTAATTTGCATGTTTAAGTATTAAAATTTCCAGAAATTTAATTTAATTGCTTAGCAAATTATTGCTTGTTGCTACTCATACGCCCCGAGGCACCATTTTTATAACTCAAACTACTGACAATCATGTGCATATGTTAATATGAATGTTGCCGATATGCTTAAAGCGATAATGAAAATGAATTGATGGAAAGAAGATAAAAACTAAAAATTTATGTGCACACTTACCGAAATGCTTGCAGTACAGTACGTGATGGCCCACAGTTTCCTTGAATGCTGGCTGGAGCCTTAAGCTTAAGCATCACTACGCGCACAATATTGCACAGAAAAAGCAAATTGAGGAACATTGAAATGCAAACAGGTACAACGAGAATATTGGTATAATCAGTAGAATTCATCCAGCAGCTGGTGAAAAAATGAAAAACGAAAGGAAGCATAAGAATGGAATAATGTACAAATCAGTAACAGGAAGGTATTAATAAAAATTCTGAAAGCAGATTTAATATCTTGCATTTTTTATAACAAAAACTAATTAAACTCTCAGCTCAGAAAAATTCCTGATGGTATTTGCATTCAGAAAAGTTTCCTTGGTTAAGCAAAATATCGAACCCAGTTTTTTCGTTACCATTTATATCACATTGGTGTTAAAGTTTTCAATATATGTGTTATAATACTTTTTTGCTATATATATACTATATATAAAACTTTCTATGCATAGTTTTGGCAGCATTATTCATACTTACTGCACAACTTCATCACCAATACCGCCAAGTCCACGCGCCAAACTATAAATAAAAATTACAATAGCTGGCGAACCCCAGCCAAATGCAATCAACCATTTCACCAACTTTTTTTCAGATATAAATGCGGATACCAGCACCGTATGCAAATAAAAACCCTCGCAGAGCATCCATGAGTAGTTGGTCAGAAGGAAGTAGTGTAGTATGATGTGCAGTGCAACGCAAGTGGCCTGTAAATGGAAAAGCAGAGACAAATGTGAGTGCAAGCGTTGGAGTCGATTTGCTGAGAACGGATATGAATGACTGTATATTGTTCAACAACAATGGAACGGAGCCAAGCCTCAATTGTTTGTAGGTGACAATGTGTAGGGGTAGCTGGGGAATTGATGAATTGCTAAAAGCACGGCATTTAAGGTTAAGGGTAATAGGAGTACTAACATTTGTTTAAATCAAAATAAACGATTGTATGAAGCAGGAATGATGAGTGACTTATTTTGTATGAAGGATAGAATTTGCTTTATTTAATATCAAAATAGTTGGATAAATGATTAATTTTACTATTTATGAGTGAATTCATTAGATTTGAAAATTGACTTACGGGACTCTGATGTAGTAGTTCTGTATCTGGTATTATCACTAAATACCATACCAACCATAGTGAGTTGTTAGCTGCAAAGGAAGTGAATAGATTCATGTGCAGTGTTATACGTGCGCATTTCAAGGATCTGGAAGTAAGTTAATAATTTATTTAGATTTTAATAAACATTATAAACGAAAATGTAAATTAAAATAAAATAAAAATAATTTAAGCTGTAAAATATACAAAAAAAAAATATTTTAATATTATTGTATTAAAAATACATATATCTAATTTATTTTGGTTTCAACTATTTTTATTATTTATTTTATCTTTATTTTTTATTTTAAAACACATATCTACATATATTTGTACACAGCTATAAATTTTGACCCTATTCCACCAATTTTGATGAATTTTTATTTGATTATGACTTCGACGAGATTGGAAGGTTGAAAATTGCATTTGAACATGATAGATTGCAGTATTAGAAGAACAAACAGTTCATGATAATTTTAGAGTTAAAAAAATTATTCTACAAACTTTGATGAATTTTAGTTTGAATATTGTTTAGACGAGAGTGGTAAATTATGGATTGTACTTGAACCTGATATATTACAGTATTAAGAAAATTGTTTTTATGATAAGTTAAGAAATAAAAAATTAAATTTATTAAAGAAGTTGGAATGGAAGCAGATCGAGAAAAAAGACACACTCACAGAAAAGCAAAAGAACAACGTGTAATTCGTTTATAAACATAAGAATTTGGCAATAAAGATGCAATTAAAATAGATACCAGAATACACTGCAAATCGTTTAGATGTGAATGAAACGACCGATGAGCAGAGTATATAAAACACTAAAACAACCTAGTATTCATGTTCCAATAAGTTGTGTTATGCTATGTTCAGACAGCAAAATTTCCCTAATTTCGTAAAAATGAAATAAAGTTAATTTCGAAAGTGTTCATACTGCAACAAATTAAAGAAATTATATTTTTTTTGTTTATAAATCGAGCGGTAAAAATTATATTATATGGTATATAATTGTATTATAAACACCATATATAAAAATGTCAGGTTTTCGTTATCTCAACTTTATCTTTTGCTTAAAATTTATCTAACGCATAGTTGCATTTGAAATATTTCTTAATTTCAGCCGTCGTTTCAACGAAATTAAGGTCCTTTTCCTTAATTTCGTTCTAACTTTAAAACTGAATTTTGTATGGAAAAAACAACTTAATTTATTTTGAAATTTTAAAGTTGATAATTTGAAACGAAGATGAAATTAAGATTTTTGCGAAATTACAGTTTGTCTGAACATAGTATTACAGTAGCATATTTTATTGTGATTAAATTTAAATACGTAAATATTTGTTTGTAATAAAAATAATTAATTATAATTTAAATAGCAATATTATCATGTGCAGATGATGCTTTAGTAATTATTACTGATACAGAATTACAATTACCATTTAGCAAATTACTTATTTACCTTGATAAATATTCATTAGTATTCATAAACTAAAATAATAAGCCAGATCAGCACAAGTAATTTTACAAGAAAGGAAGAAAATCTTGCAACAATGGTATCTTGCTTTCTTAGTCAACGAAAGTCAAGTACATAAGAATTTCTGCATAAGAAATTAACGAGTGGTAAAATATATTTATATATATATTTGTTTTAACTTAAGTAATTTAAGTAATATTTATTTGTTCAGTAGGATGAACTACACATTTTCTACAAAAAACGATTTAATAATCCTTAAAATAATCTTAAAATCAATTTGGAAGTGAAATTCGTAACAATCTTTTAGAAACCAGTGACAAACTTAAACGAGAAAGTAAATACAATCAAAAATAGTTAATATTTATTTAATTGCATATTGGTGAATGAGTATCCACATTTGGAACTACATAACATATAATCATATAAAAATAAGGAAATAATACTACTACAAAAATGCTATATCACATCATACATTTAATTTTAAGGAATGGATGATGGTTTTGTCAAATTAGTCAAATTAGTGCGATAAAGATTAATTATATTGACCTTAAAATAGACGAAGTGCTCTATGAACTTCGCGAATAGATTTATTTTATTCACAGTAAATTTCCATAATTTAAAAGCGTTGTTTCAGCGTTAAACGATTTATGATGAATTATCAAATCTTACTGAACAGAAATTCAACACAGCTTGACATTTTCAGCTGTCAAACCATAGTTATCGATATTGATAGTTCTCATGCAGCTACAAAAACACCTGATATAATTGAGCAACCTGAAGAAGTAACATTACATCTCTTTTTATAAGTTGCAAAGTATTATTTATAAACTATCCGTCACTTATCTTATAGTAACTCAACCTTTTAAAATTTCAGATTAAATTTTAAATTTAAAAGTTTACTTGTTTTTTTATAATCAAAAGTTGTATATCTAATAAATTATTATAATATGTAATTATTATTTGTTATTATTATCACATATATGTAATTTACAAATTTAATCTATTTTAAAAAATTGATTTCACATAGTTTTTTTATTCATTCCTGTGTCTCACTATGTATCTGAGATGATTTATCATTTTGTTTGTTATACTCGCAACCATTCTTTTCCACGTTAACTTAGGACGACCTCTGCTACGTTGGCCCTGTGAGTTGTATTCCAGTACAGCATGAGGGATATCATTGATTAGTCTTTTAAACGCGTGACCTAATCATTGATATTTATGCCTTTTGATTTCTTCTTCCACTGGGAGTTGTTCTGCTTTTCTCCATAACTCTGAATTCGAAATAATTGCTCGGTATTAAATGCGCATAATGTGTTTCAAACTTCTGTACATGAATGTTTGTATTTTTTTAATATTTGCTCTGCTGATAGACCATGTCTCGCAGCTTTATAAGAGAGTCGTTTTGACACATGTTTTAAGAATATTGATCTTAGTCTTAAAACGTATTGTACTTGATTTCACACTTTCTTTCTTCAAACATACTTTTTGTATTTCGTAGACGGTAGGCCATATCCATGATGGTTCCATTATCAGTACCAACAACACTCGAACTTTTTTACTTCCTCTAAGACATTATTGTTGACAAATAGACGGAGTTTACTCGAATATATTAAATAAATATATTATATTTTAATATTAAATTAAAAATATATTATATTATTTTTAATTTAATAATTAAATTAATTAAATTAAAAAACATATTGTTCGTCTCATTTAAGAAAAGATAAAACAAATAAATGAATGGAAAAAAAAGTGAAACTACTAAAAAAACTCTTTTCTAAAAATTTTTGTATTATGATTGGTATCCTTCTCTTGTAAGGAATACTTTAAGTAGTTTTTTCTGGCTTGCAGTTTTAGTATGGTTTTCTGTAGTTTATTATTAAAAAATTTTTTTTGAAGGAAAATTAAAATGTTAATTTTAGAGAACGTGTTAATATTTTAATGAATTTCGCATTAACACGTTCTCATACAAAATTTTTTATGCTAAGCAATTCAGTTTAAAATATTCTCATACCGAAATTTTTTTCTCATTCTACACATTTTTTCGTTAAAAAAGAAATTTTAATGCCTTGAAATATTTTTATATTTAAAATTATATTTAAAAAATAATTAAGTTGCTCATACTTTACGAGAATAAATGCTCATACACTGCCGTAGGGAATTCTATTAAAAGATACTGCAAAGTATACGAGGTACAAGCGAAAAAAATATGTTTAGCTGAACTGAAAGCATATGTAAAATCATAATTTAATATGTTGACACATAAAATTTAATTAAATTTGCATTTGGGTGCTATAAGTATGTTGGGCTTAGAACACATAAATTCTAATTACATTTTATTGTTTATTTAGAATTTAACATACGCTTGATTGTGTATTTTAGTGGGTTATGCGTTCTGTGTTCTGAGTGCTGGGTGCTGCAGATATATGCCTTATGCAAGTATAAACAAGCGCTGAACAAGTGCAGTGTTTAGTCAGTACCTGAAAGTTACTGCAAACAATTTCCCTGGCATGCATAAAACTTGCCATAGGCAGTAAGACTGTGGGGAAAACAAAACACTACAAGTCCTGCATAAAAATTAGGTCATAAAACATTTTTGTGAGTATTTTTAATGTGCCGAAACCTTGTTGAGTAAAAGGACTTTAAGTGACTATTTCGAATTTAAGTACATATTTGTTCATTAAATGTTTTTATGTTATTTTGATGGGTTTTATTTTACTTAAGTGTAATAACAAGAGCTTCAAATAAAAATATTTTTACATATATTTTTTTAATGAACCATAATTTCTATATACAAAACTCAGAAATACTGAAGAAATACATCTAGAATATTTAATTTTTCGTATACACAAAACATGTTAGTAGCATATATATTGTGTCTAAGAAAATTCTACAGACACTTCAATGTGCAAAAATATTAATCGATATCCTGTCAAAAATAGAAAATTGTGCTTTCATTTCCGCAATTACTCAGCAATCGAGCACTTTTATCAAAAATTCATTAATAATGACAAGTTATAAGTCATATACACATACACACGCACGCACACACAAATGCATACCAAAATCGGCGCCATTTTTATTAAGCACCTTTTCATTTATGCTTAATGCCCCCATTTTCACAATTGCCAATTGCTGAGCATGCAAACAAAGGTGCGCTTCCGTTTCCAGTGAAAATGTACATTATTTCATTTTCATTTTCAGTTTTTCCTTTTTACTTATTTCATATTTTCCTTAATGAAAATTTGTTTACCGTATGCATAAGTACGTGTATGTATATGTCAAATAAAACTATACACTCATATACTTGCAAATTCTTTTGAAAATAGAAAAAAAATGAAAAAATTCGCAAGTGCAAAGAAATTGCCGAATTGCGGAAATGTTCGAAATTCAAAACATCAATTATGGTGGATTATTAACGCTCCCAACTTACCGCGTCCTTACGTCATATGGCATCGATGTACGTAGGTAATAGCGCTTTTGTAATGTAGCTCTTCAAGTCTGAGAGAAACGCTTATTAAGGTCACATATTCCATTGAAATATATTCAAGCGGAAAAGGAAGTTTTCGAGTGTAAGCAATTCGAAGAGCGAACGAATCGAAATTCAGTACAGAATCGTATTTATGAATAAAGTTGCACGAAATATTTCATTTAATAAATATATGGAAAATGCTTAAAATGCTTAAAATATTGAAAATATGAACTTAATATGAAAATTTTTAAGCGTAACTAATTTATTATAAGGAAATGTTATATATATTAGATTTCAATATAAATTATAAGTTTATATATGTAAGTTTCAAGACAGTTTTATGTGAACAATAGTCTTTAAACAGCCAATCGCTTCCACACAATTCCGGAATAAGTTTTAGACAGCGATATAACTTCTATTCAAAAAGTATCCAGATTTTGTTGTTCGTTAATTACTCCTTAAGTAATAGACCTTTTTCAAAAATGTTAATGTGAGACTACCTCAAGTGCATTTAGCGATTTTTACTGTGGAAAATTGTTGTACGCCATTTTTTGACCAAACACGGCACCACTGTCATCGCTCAGGCACCATATTCGCCAGATCTGGCACTGGCACCGTGCGACTTTTTCCTGTTCCCGAAACTCAAATTGCCTGTTCGTGCTAAGCGTTTTGAGTCGATTGAATCGGTAAAAGAGAATTCGCTGAAGGAACTAAAAGCCATACCTGCACAGGCCTACGAAAAGTGTATGGAAGATTGGGTTAAGCGTTGGCATATGTGTATCGCTTCAGAAGGAGCATATTTTGAAGAAGATAAAATAAATTTGGAATAAAATTTAAATTTGTGTGTTTTATTTACAAAATCCGAGTACTTTTTGAATTTACTCGGACTCGGAATACACTTAGTGTGAATTTATAATTTAAAAAAAGTGCATAAAATATATCGAGAGTTTTTTTTTTTTTAGCTGCATGAGACCTATAGATATCAATAACAATGGTTTGACAACTTAGCATGTCAAACTGTGTTAACATTTCTGTACAGTAAGGTTTGGCAATTCATCAATGCTTCCAAATTGTGGTGATTTTCTTTGAAAAAAAAAATCTGTTCGCGAAGTTTATACAGCACTTCGTCTATTTTACGGTCAACATATTAGTTACATCAATGAGCAAAATTGTGAAAATGAGACATTAGCAAAATTATCATTACATCCATTAAAATTGACTGTTTGGTACGGTTTGTACGTTGGTGGCATTAAGGAAGGAAGGAAGGAGCTGCTATTACGGTGAAGGGCGAACGCCATCTAGTTATGCTGACTGAATTTTTATTTCCCAAAATTAATCAGTTAAACATATCCGGCACTTGGTTCAAATAAGATGGCGCTACTTAATATATAGGGCGCTTAAGAAACAATTAACAATTTATTGTGCAATCAATTTGGTAACAAGTTTATTTCCAGAAGTTGCTACTATGAACTAACTGGTCTGTTAATCCCCTCGTTCGTGCGATTTTACGCCTTTCGATTACTTTTTATGGGGCTATGATAACTCATTGATTTCTGATGACAACTTTTGAAGCTCAGTAACTCTTGAAGCATTAAAAACCAATATTCATGCCATAATTGATGCTATACGGCCACATTTATTGTAAAAAATAGTCCGATCTAAAAAATTGGACTGATCGAATGGACCATGTATGGTATCTCGTAGCGTTAGCGGACATGATACCGGAAATCATATACAAAAAATACATACCATAAAATTATCTATCAGATTTTAATAATAAAAATTTTTTTCTAATGGGAATGGTTCTAGTGCATTTGATGGGATTTGCTCTGAAGACAATGAAATTTGTTTTGATGGATTAATAATTTTTTTATGTTTTAACATATATAGCAATGCGGAATTATTCTTCACTGAATTGTGAAGTTTGTATTCCGAACGATAATTTTTTATTTGTCAGCAGTTTTCAGAAAACATTTATTTAATCACATTTCAACAAGCTTAATCACACTAATTGTTTCAACTACTATAAATTATTAAGTTACATTTAATGAGTATTGTTTAAATCTGTTCAAAATATATTTCATCTAATTAAGATTGAACCTTTACTGCTTAATATGTAGAAACATGGATGGAGTAGTAAACTTAATTTTAAAAGTGTGTTTGGACTTATTACAGAAGACGGTAAACTGTTCAAGCTTGCATTGTGATGGGCTCCACAAGGTCGAGTACAGCGATTCTTTTATTTTAATCTAATTAGCAAATTACTTTTGCATTTTAAGGTAACAGGAATGCATTCCAATTTTTTTCTTCAATAAATAGTAAAATAAAAAATAATTTAACCGAATTAATTGGAGCAGATACTCCGGTGTGTCGGTCCTTATTCTGAGGCGGTAAATGAAATGCGAAATAAAAACTATAAAAAGTTTTTTACCTCCTTATATCTACCAAAAAGGACGGAATCACATGCATACGTATAATTAGCGCTAATAAGAGTTTTACATACAGGGTGTTTCGTGGACATTACTTCGTATAAAGCTCGTAGATGATTTCTGTTTTAACAACATTAACGGTTATTTTCACAACAGAGTTAGATTGCAACTGATAGCAGAACCTTTATGCTCTACGTAGAATGAAAGAATCACATACTTGCATACAATTGCAGCTGATTAAAATTTTATATACAGAGTGTTTCCTATATTTAATAAAGTTAAGAGCTAATGCTTTGGAAAAAGAAATTAAAAGATCGTATAAGCAGGGAGGATTCACTCTCAATAAAACGAAACCTTTATCCAAAAAAAAATTATATAATTAAGCGTAGCTGCTGCAAATAATTAAAGTATCTTTTTCTATTAAAAATCTTTTTATTTAATTTTTAATCTGTTTTTGATTTTATTGAGATTTAAAATTCAAACGAATGAGAATTGGCTTTGTTTGAAAACTTTTTTCATTTTTGTAAAAGAATTTTTTTTTTTTCAATGAATTGAAAAATATAAAATTGTGCATGTATTGTAAAGTCGAGAAGTAGATAAGAATTTACATAGTACGGATATCAAGTTCTTAAAGAAATTACATACTTCTTAGAATTTATGTAATATTCATATTTTTCATAGACTACTTAGTTTATTAAAATTAAATTATTTTTAACTTACTTGAAATATCCCAATATCGCTAGTGATAGTAATATTGCTATTAATGATATGCAATAGCCCACTTCAGATATAAGATTAATGCTGTGCTTCCACTGTAAAATAAGTTTTCAAAATAACGTTTTTTTATATATTAATAATACTAATACGAAAATTGTTTTAAATTGCATGTAAATTATATAAATTTCTTTGTAATATGTACCTCTAAATCATCCAGATTTACACAGGTTGTATAATTGGACCAGGTTTTGTTTGTTAGTGGATGCTTAAACCATTCTCCGTCCTCATCACACTCTTTGTGTGCATACCCTGCAAAATTTAATTGTTAAACCTTTTTATATAAACTACTTAATTTTTTAAATGCAAGCAATTTTAAATATAATTAAGACTAATGCAACCCCTCCTTCTAATATATTTCCAAAATATATCTTATTAAATAATTACTCTCATATGTTTAAATATCTGACATATTTAATTTCTTTCCCTATGTTCTCTTATAAAATAAGTAAGTATATAATTAAGATTCGTAGCCAGAAACTTACTTCTATATGTGTATATACTCGTATCTAGTTATAGCTATGTTCTTAAGCATAATTGTTATTTAGTTCCACATAGTTATTATTTTATTTTCTAAATAATGACTATTTGAGAGTATAGTTATAAAATTTGAAAATAAAATTTATTTTCTGAAAACTAACTTTCAATTATAAGAAAACTATCTTAAATATGCTAACATAAGATGATTTTCTTCATACACATTTAATATTATTAGAGTAAAGAGCAACTGTAAACATTTTTTTTTGATATAATAAAAAATAGAATAATTAAAACTGAATTATAGAGAGTTTAACAAGAAATATTTCATTTGCTGAGCACTATGCTTTTGAAAAAGTATCTGAACATTGAAAACTGTTAACAAAATAAAAACCTCAAAAATTGGTTAAATATTCCTTCAATATAATGAAGTACCCGTTCAAGTTCTTAATAAAAATATGCAATTTGAAGGGAGAACTAAAAACAATATTCCAAAAAATTTTGAAATGTAAAGATTTAAAGAAAACTATTTAAAATTTTTCTTTTCCTTGTTTAAAATAAGAACTATTTTAAAAATTTGTTGTTATTTTTATATTTTCAAAAATAGATTTACTGTGGAATAGATACGTTCTAAGTATAAGTATGCTCATAACATTTTATTATAACTGGTCAGTTTTTATTTTTAAATATTTATTAATAGCTTATTATTAAAACTAGCAGTTGTTTTTTTACTAATATAAAAAAATGTGACCAACAAAGATACATGTTTTCACAACCTGACCAATAAACCAATAAGTCTAATAATAAATATTTAAAATCAATTTATTGGTCATAATATAAAGAGTAAATTTTTAAAAACTGTATGGGGAAATCTAACCTTCGTGAAATATTTATAAATGAAATTGTGAGAACTCTTTTTTAATATTGCACTTTAAGTAAAATATGTCTAAAAGTTGACTCAACTAATAAAAATAATAGAAATAGAAATAATAGACAGTCTGGCTAATCTTGAATAGATTTATTTTTAAGTTCATTTTTTATTTCTGTAGGCAGAGCGACAATGCTGTCACAGAAAACGAGGATGTAACGCCCCATTAAAATTTCAAGGAATTTCCACCGCTACCAATTGAAGTTATGTGTTTGGCATAAATTCCCACATGTGAGGAGCGAAGCCTACTTAACACCTCTGTTGATATTTGAGTTGCAGTATCCGGTTGGAGGCCGAAATTCCACATCGAATAAAAGTAAATAAATTCAATCATTCTACTCGCTGAAATTTGGGTTTTAACCACAGCCACCACGACATTCCCGTTAAGATGCCAACTTCAATTGGTCAGGACTCTGACCCCGTGATACCAGATTCACAATTCCGGTCAGGTGTCGTAAGTGAAACTCACTTACTATTATTTACACTCCAAACAGTGTTGGGTGGTGTCAGTATTTTAGTCACTACTTACGACAGTAAGTGCGTGCCTTACTTCGGAAATATTCTAACCCTCTTCCCTTTTCTACAATAATAGGTAGAAATTTGGCGATAGTTCCACAAGTGGAACGCATACTACATTAATGTTTCTCACATTCTACATTTTCATTAGTATAGCGTACAGATCGGAGTCTTGTAACTGGGTCGATTAAAACGATAATATTGAAATTAGTTAATATTATATATAGGTATTAATGTTTTTTCATTTTAAAACAATTTTTTCAATAAAACATTTAGATTTGCCAATAGAGTTCAATTATTTATTATTTATTTGTTAATTTATTTCCTTTTTTTTTATAATATAATAATATAATATAATATAATATAATATAATTTTTTAATAATATAATTATAATATCAATAGTATCGATTGTATTTATTATTGTTTAAAAATAAGAATTTACTATACTCTAATACAATAAAATTTATTTAAATCACAAATTTTTATTTTCAAATCTCTTAAATTCTATTTAGTAAAATTGCAGTAAAGTTTTATGTTTTAATTTAAGCGAAAACATCTTTGGATAATTTGAAATCAGTTGTGTGGAAAAAAGTGAATACCAGCCACATCCGCTAACAGGATATGCCATAAAAGTTAATGGCTTTTTATATAATATGCCAATGTACCAATTTTTGCACCAAAAGGAAGAATACACTATGCCAAAGAAGAAGAAGAAGAAGAAGTGTGGCAAGAACTGTAGCTGGAGCACGATTTTTTGTGGTGTCATTGGACGTGAGCTGTTGGTAAAACTTACTCTAAAAGTTTATATTTAGTGTGAGTCATGTGCTCTGCACTAGAAAATGTTTAAATATTGTTGTCGATAGATTGACCATAAAAACACAACAAACCACAAAGAAAAACATCAACAAGTGTTAATGAAAGCAAACTTAAAAATACAACAATTTTCGTTGTATCATGGATTTCACATAAAAAAGTTAAATTAGAAATGGCAAAAGATTTTCATGGTTTCAGATATCAAAGAAAATATGTTTATATATATAGATATCTGGTTTATGTGATATGTAGTAACAGATTAACACGCGCATTCACACGTTTATGTATAATTTGAAAAGCTTCCATTGTCTGTCCGCGATGACAGACTCGCAGACTCGGTAGGAGAAAGTGTGCTCGCTGCGAACTTAATATACTTGAGGACATCTGTTTCCTGTTCTCCGGCTGTGGCTAATATCATTACACTCCCACAAAATGTTTGGTATCAAATTAACTTAAATTTAGCTGGCAACAATAATTTGCGAATTTCTGGCTTTTATGTTAAAAAGTTCATATTAAAACAAAACCCAATTGAATTACAAATTAATTAGCCTTAAAACACAACAGGATACATTTTGATTGCCTTTTGAAGTAGCATTTCTGTGGCACTGATCTGTGGCTTCTTTGGTGTGCATTATTTTGATTAATATTATTGGTGGCTTTATTTGTGACTTCAAAGCATAAGATTATCTCAAGTAACAAATAACACTTAATAACACTGATGGTTTTAAATGAAAATGAATTAAATGAATCCTTGCCACACTTCCCACAGAATGTTGAGCAATATAAATTAATTTTTATATTTCAGAATTGTAAATCATTTAAAGTAATTTTAAAATTTTAACTTTTATTAATAAAGCAATTTAAAAAATTTTACGAGGGTTGCTTTTAAGTTATCCACTCGTATTTACTTAGCAATTTAAAAGTAATTAAAAGATTGATTCAGAATAATCAAACCACATAGTAAAAATCAATTAAATTTTATGTGGTCGTTTGTTTTTTATCTTCTCAAGGGTTTTTATTTAACTAGTAAAAAAATACGCTAAAAAAATACGATTTTGAATTGAAATCCTTTTTAAGAATTCAAGGAACTGATTTCACTAGAAAGACTCCATTTTGCTCATAAAAATAGCTTTAGTCGAACTAAAAGTAAAATCTGATGTAATAAAAGTAATAAAATTTTATGCAATGATTTTGTAGTTGAGTTTGATAAAATCGTGCGTGTTCACTGGAGCAGCACTAAGCCATTATAGGTTTGTAGATATTTATGTGCTATATTAAAAGGTTACAACAGGTCAACTATTCCTGGTTTATTATGTTGAGTGCTGTTTTTTCTTTCCACATATGCATGAGTACGTCCATAAATGTTAATGGACTCTTCAGGTCAAACATAAAATGTTTACATGCATGAAATCGAAAGTACGTATTCTCTGCATTAAAGCAAAAATGGCTTTCAGATTTTAACTGATTTTTTTACTATTTTGAATTACTTTAAATGGAGTATATATGTTTATTAATAAACTGGAAAATATTACAATAATAATATTAAAATGTTAATTAGAGAGAGACACATAATAGTATGACGAAATACATGTATTCATACGTATTGTTTCAATTTTAAGAATACAAGTACCTTTACATATTCATATGGACTTAGTTCATATTTCGGTTGACAATCACAACATTCATATTTATGTGAATATAGTATAGATAGTATATAGAATATTAAGTGTAACAACTATATTTCAAGTGAAAGGAAAAGCTCTTATGCTGCTATTAACACGATTTAGTTCAAAAACTGGAAATTAAAAATTATTTACCAGTATTTACTAGAACTGCTATTACAGTCCTGTACTCTTTATATATTAAACTACAAGTCATCGGAACTTATATTCCACTTATGAGTGAGATTGGCATCCATAATAGCGTATTTATAATTAGAATACTAGAACAGATTGATTACCTCTTTATCAGATGCTTTTTCTTCCCTCAATCACTTTTGCAAATTATCTGGAAAATCCTAAGTCCTAAGACT